GAGTCACGAAAATACGGTCAAACGGTTAAATTTTCGAGAATCTCGAACGCACGATACACAATTTGTTTATTGTGACAAGAAAGTGAAAGTCGTTTACGAGAGGAATACCGATAAAATTTCTCTCATCTCTGCTATGTTCTCTCTTCGATCGCGATTCGAAACTAAACAATCGCCTTTTTTTTTAAAGTCTGTAATTAAAATTTTCGCTTTCGCAGATGCATAATAGGAAGTTTGCAGACGAAATGTTATTTAGCTGTTGTAGTAGGAGTTTATAAAAATATTAATTTTTACGAAAGTAGGCTAATGTATCTACATTAGGAAGCTACCACATCAATTTGCTAGTAGTTCGAAGTTTAGTAAAATACATCAGTTAAATATAGACAATAGATTAGCGACTATTTTTACACCTACCTGCGCAATTAAATTTATCGAGCGATATTCCTTTATAGGATTTTTTCTTGCGGCGATATCCGTTACCGATCGTACATTCCCAAAGGTTATTTCAAACATTTCTTCTATTAAAAAACTCTCAAAACAATTTTTTGGCATCGCAGCCGAGAAATTTTGGCACTAATTGCGGACACATCGTGGCCGTGACTTTGACATTACGGACTATCGTCGGCGGGTTTCGGTGAATATACGGAGGCGATCCGCTTATTCATTTATAACGGTTCGATATTTTTGCATTTAATTACATTGAAATCCATCGTAAAAGGTTAGCCGGTAATTCTTAAGTCGTGTCGTAATAGTTTATAAAATTGATAGATATGTTAACTGCTCGTTTGTAGGAAGTTAACAGATTTCGAGCTGGCTCGAAGGACCAAAAATACAGCCTCTCGAAAATCTACGTGTTAAAATCATGAGTAATAAGTCACCGTTTGATCGCTTAAATAAATCTATGATTCACTTATGCAAATAATAGGCGCCAATTGGGATTCTGGAAACTAATTTAAGCCTTACTTAACGTTGTCAAACGGGAAATGCCGTTCTATTAGTGTTGTTTATTAACCGCAAATGTAGTACGTGCGCTTTAAAATATACTTTTTTTTGGTTCTTGGAATGTATGTGGAACAGTTTTTTACGACGCTTGTTACTTCTTTACGTCTACAGAAATAGATTATTATCCGGAAATAAAACTACAGTATAAATAAATTATGATTTATGACATTACCAACACATTGCGGGAGAAAAATAAAATATTCATTTCCTCTTCTATCGTGTAATTCTTCTGTTGTGTCATTCTCTAATTGGTTCTCGATTGCCTATGTGTTAAATCGCTGGAAAGTGCCCTACTGACACGTGCGGGAAAGGTCCCTGGGTAATTGCCTGTTGTCCTTGGAAGCGTTTATACAAACATATAGAGTGAATGACATAGCAATCCTAAATTGAAGTGAAGCAATTCTAAAAATGAAGAAGGAAAAATACATCTCATGCAATAGAAAAGAATATGAATAAATTAAAGAAAAAAGGCCTTACGAACCAATGGAAGTGGAACTTGAGCTTCGATCTCATCTGCATGCTCGTGAACGTCCTGTGCTTGATCATTGCTTTCTCGAAAGCCTTGACCAACCAATGAATCGATAGTAGGTCTGAGCATGTCATCTATATGGTACACTTTCTTCAGTAGACATGTTTAAATGGGCTATTCAGTACAAACTAAATACCACCTACCAGTGGTTTGCTGGAAATGGAGGGACTTTAACTACCTCTTTTACAGATAAAAATGATCTTCTTTGCAATTTTTTACAATTTTCCAATATGAAGCATTTGTTGATTTATTATTAATTGATTGGATATTCTTTGTAATGGTTAATGTACAGTAATTTTTCACCACCCTAACATAAACATCAATTATTCTATAAAACATAAATCCTTTAAATTATACATTCATCCGTATACGTTTTTACTCGCAAACTCCTATTATGACCTTACCGTTTGTTAAATGAAAAACCTTTGTTCGAGCTCACTTTCATTTCCTTATCGCTCGAATTCCGCATTGTGCACGCCACTGACAATATGGTTATTAAACATTTAAAGCGTCTATTAAAACTTTCGTAGGAAAATAACCTTGGCGTTAAATATATTCAATGTCATTAGACATTTAAAATACCGTTTCAGTTTGTATTCAATTTATTTATTGAATGTGTGTATAATAATCTGTTCCTTGATAGCGCTCAATGTCAGGCCATCGGAAAAGGAAAAATTACCGACTTTGTTTTCCTGGTCGATGAAATTGTCGGCGAATATTTATTTTGTTTGAAGTCATGTCGCCTAGAATGCACGCAAAAAAATGTTTGCGATTTTTCGCTCTATCTACATTTCTATGCACTAATGTGATTCATTTAAATTAAATAAATCTGTTATTAGTGACGCATAATTAATTCATGTTATTGTGTCATTGTTGTTATTCGGACCGTTTCGAAAAAATAAAATGTTTTATTGGAACAATCAAAATTGTTTAGAATATAAATTATTTTGCTCTTTAGAAGTCTGTTTAAAAACTATTGATGATTTATTAGCATTTCTCTTATTAGTTCGTTTGAACAACATTAATCTTCATATTTCCAACTTACCAAAACTTTTCTATCTCATAATTTCTGAGAAAGTTTTGATTAAGTTTGGTAGATAATTTTTTAGAATAAATTCATCTTCATTTATCAAATTACTCCGTGTATGCAGCAATAATCTGTTCTACATTACTTTACCATGTAAGTTAATTACCTTGCATTGTATTATAATTGTCTACTTTTTTCGAACAGCAATATTTTTATATTGACGTTAAAGTCGTGCTGTAAAGAGATTGCACTCGCATTTTTCAGAGCCTTCACCTTTTAGGATATGGCGGATTTTATGTAGAATGCAGATTGAGGATAATTATAAAAAGCGCAATTAAATAATAAACATAAAGAAATTGTTTTTTTAATGCGAACGACACATCGCACCCGACTAGTATAAATATTAGTTATAATGAAATAGGAACGATTTGCATAAACACCTACTATATAATAAACATTTTAATATCCGGCATGTATTTCTCGCTTATTGCGAAATATTCTTGACCGCACTAAGGTGAAATGAATTGTTTAAGTGCACAATTTAACTAGCAGGGTAATTGTGGTTTTTAAGAGGGCAATTGGTTATTAGATTAATGTTGTTGTTTGAAGTTTAAATTAGTTGAAAACGGGGATTTGGTGGAGACTCTGTTGTAAACTTTTTATCTCTAAAGCGTTTGAAGTTATGAGAGAATGATTGCGCAAATTATCTTTCATTTATTCAGGTTTATAAAAAATAGGGTACACTATAATTTTAGCTTACGAAGTTTTGAATAATAGTAAAATAATTAAATCTAAAAAATTAAATTGTTCAGAAACCAGTTCAAAAAAAATATTTTTCAAGTACCTATATTACACTGTTTCACATTTTATGTAAAACCCGTTCTTACAATTTATTTAAAACCCGGTAAGACCTTGATTCCGACAAAATATGTATTTTCCACTAACCGAACGGTTTTGTAATTGCGTATATTCAAATATACCTACGACGTCAAAGAAAATAATCTACGGCTCCAGCATATTTCCAAGCGAAGGTATTCGATTGCACTATCGATTAATCTGGATGAATTATACTATGTATATTTAATATTATATTTACCTATTACATGGCGACGTGAAAGGTTGTCCTTGACCTTTGGAATATTTCACAGCTCAAATAGATTAAATTCTGTTTTCTCATTTTGAAATGTCAATATTTTCCTACTTACATTCCATTATCGAGAATCGTTACGATCGTTCGGTAGACTTTTTTATTAAGTCGCAATTCGACGATAAAAAAATGTGAAAAGCAAAAATACCTAATTTATTCGGTGCAAATGAAAATTGTGTTTTCAATGCTATAAAATCGCTTTTAGCTAGCGTATCGGATCTTTTGATATTTTATTTTCGGTAGCATTTGATGTGGTATTTATTGCAAAAATCGTACCGTTATTACTATGAAATAAAGTTCCATAACTATTCAAAATATTTGTTTTGCTCCATCCATAGCAAATATGCTAATAATGCATTCAGAATCCAAGTTTAAATTGGAATTACCTCAGAGCTAGTACGGGGATTGCAAAGGACCATGATTGTGTTTTGCATTTTACGGTCCTGTGAGCTGGAATTCAGTGAAAAATCCCTTTTCACTATGAGAGAGAGTAAAAAATATAACATAAAGCTCGTAAATTTAAGAGAACTATTAAATTTGCTTGTCCAGTTCTGTCAAATAAACAAAGATTTAATTGCAAAACTAATTACACAATTTAATGTGTCCCAAAAAATAATTCGTTAATACTTTAAATCTTTAGCCAAAAATGAAGTGTGCGAGATCGAATCAAGGTCAATTTGTTTATAGCATAATTCTAATGTGAATTTGCGCGTCAACTTTTTTTGCGATTATTTTTCAATGAAAAAATATATTGGGTAACAGATTAGATGCAATGATAAAATCTTGATTTTCACTCAAATTTCGGTCATTTTATTTCAAATGCTTAAGAAAGTTCGAAATTCATCTTAATGTGCTTTACCTTGATAATAAAATTCCTGTAATCTAATAATAGTTGAATGTGAATGTGGATATTCTGACGTAATTAGCGTTTCTGTATTATTCGCATGACCAGTGAAATGCTTTTTTTTTGTATTGCTCGCATTTTCATAATTTTAACAGGAATTTATTGGGCGAAAAAAAAATAATTAGTGATAGCTTTCAATGTTTAGTAATATTTCCAATAGATAATCACGTTGCGAATTTGTTTCCTTTTCAATTTAGCCTTCGTATTTAATCAATTGCTATTTGTCGAAAATTCTCGTAGATAAAAATTTTATTTAATCGATTTATCAGTTTATTCAGTTTTCAATTTTCCTCACCAAACAAGCGTAGTATTTTTAAATACTTACCTCTTTACGCAAGTTATTAGATTTCCTGTATTATTAGGTAAAATAAAAACGCAAAACATAATATCACCAAGACATGTTTATTCTGTCGGCCTCAACAAAAACCGAATTTACAAAGAGAGTACAGTTTGTTAACATTCAGATTGCATACTCGTCTCGACTACTAACATTTAGATTTTTCTAATTACTAATTACCTGTCAACAAGTACACAATCCGAAGAAATAACATAAAGATCGATAACAAAAGTAACAATAGAATAGATAATAAAATAAATACTACTGTTCAAAAAAAAAAAATAACGTTTGTTGAATACAAATTCAGAATAACGGGCTACATTTGGTTGGGGACAGAACTTCACGTCCTAAAGGCGAGCGCAGAGACAAACATGGGAGGTGCAACACAGGTGAGTTGGTCCAAAACTGATCCTAGTACGATGGGTACCCCCCTCAGTCTCACGGATCCCTGCGACTCGCTATATTCACTAATCATAAAATGCTATGATACAACGGAGATACAAACAGGCGGGTGATAATTCCATGAAAATGATTAAGTCTCTTTACAAATTGAGATACGCAACACAAAACTTATTTCCATAAATATAACCTACGAATCAATTTATCACATATATTAAACGATAATATAAATTAAAATCTACAACAGGAGAATTGTTTAGGTGCTGATGCCAGTTTCTCATCGATAAATCCTTTTTTTCAAATTTTTTTTTAAATTAGTGATTGTTGAAACCTTAACTAGAGGAAAAGTCAGAATTGTTGGTCCGCTATGTACAAAAATGACGCTTCTTTCTGACCTTACGGAAGTAACTTTACATGAGGATTTAGATTCGCCTACTACAACATGAGGGCACACATCGATATACAGATACAGACAGATAATTGGGGGGATAATTACAAATTATTTGGTTTTATTTTCATAATAACTCGATCAAAAGTGGCACCTAAAAGTCCCATCTCGCGAACAGGTGGATCAACCATGCACTCCACTTTGTACTAATCTCACGGGAACCGCCTCTCTCTCTCTCTACACTTACACCTCTAATGTGACCACCTTCATTGGTCTCGGCGAGGGGGACGGCGATTTCTTGGACAGATTCAGCGGCTGCTGAGTGTCCGCAATGTCCACCTGCAGCTCCACCATCTTCGGCAGCGCCGTGAGTAGCGGATTGTCCGGAGACCTAGACGGCGGGGGTGCGGGCGACGTCGAATGCGGCGACTGAGCGGGCAGATAGAGCCGACTGTAATCCTGCTGAGGCTGGCCCATGTCCTGCGACTGGCCGTTGTGCATCTGGCTCTGGCGAGCGGTGGTCGTGATCACGCTCGTCGCCCAAGCGGGCTGCAGCAAAGACCCGTTCGATGATGATTTGTACGGACAGGCCGTCGGCGCGGCTGTCACCATTGGCGAGGCGGGAGATTCGCCTCTCATTATGAAATTGTGGATGACCTCCGTTCTCTTCATTTGCTCGGCGGTCATTCTCGGACCTTCCATCAGAGATTTGGCCAGCATCGAGTGGGAACTGGATAGAGTCGATTGGGCCGACGAAGTTAATTGCATTTGGAGTTGAGATTGCACTGGTTGTGGAGACATTACGACTACGGGTTCGGCTTCGGCCGAGTCTTTATTCCGCAGCGCTCTGAATTTTTTGTGTGGTTTGTAGGCCTCGTCCATCAAGGAATTCGTATCGTACAGAGGCGGAGCTTGTAGGACTCGCTTCAAAACGGGCATATCCTCGACTATATGATGATCGTCGACGGACGATCGAGGACTGGAACAGACCGATGTCGGTTTTTCGACTTTTTCGGTTCCGGATTCGATGCCCGAATCGCTGGGCGAGTCCAGCTTCCTGAATCTGGGGTGCGAGCTATGCGATGGCCTCGAAACTGGGGTTATTGTTATGCCGTTGTGGATCAAATGTGATGTGGCGGCCAATTCGTCGTCCCCGGACGAAGTGGAGCCGGAATTGGCGCGGTGTCTGTGAGGACAGACGCCGCCTGCTAATGTAGCGGCCAACAGCGGTGCGTTAGAGACGTTTGAGCTGATATGGTGGTGACTGCTGGGATGCGGATATTCGTGAATCGACGTCATCTCTGACGAGCACATCGATTCGGTGCTGGATACTGAGCCGAGAGGTGATTTGGCCTCGTCCATGGTGACATCGGACGAGGAGGACCACGAAGAAGCGGCCGGACTTTTGCTGTTGCTCTCTTCTTCCATGTGACCGTTCCACGTGTGCTGTTGTTGCATCATTTGCTGTTGTTCGGTCATTTTGAAAGCGAGCAATTTTTCTGAATGCAAGGTATTCAGAGTACGGAGATCAGGAATCTTTTTTATCAATTCGTCCATGACGTGCGATTGCCCGTGGTGGTTCTGAGCGACAACCATTTGCAAGGACGATTTCAGTTTGTTTTGCATCCTTTCGATCAGCTCGGTGTTTCTGAGGCCGGGACGATCGGCGGCAATGACCACGACCGAACAAAACAGACCGATTTCAGCGTCGGATAATCTGAGCGAGTTCATTCTTTCCGCGAAGTCAAACATACTGTCCATTAGAAAACGAGCATTCGAACTATTCTGAATAGAGTCACGTTTCAACACTTGTCCATTCAAACAGATCATACTGGCTGTTTGAGAGTCGAACATACACGCGAGACGCACAAGTAACACTTCAAAAACTCCGGCTTTCAGCAAGGTAACTTGATCATCTTGAGCTAGCAGAGAAAATCCGGGAATACGTTTGGCGAATTCCACGACGCCTCGTATAGCTGGCGAAAATCGTTTCGAGAAATCTTGCAACAGTTCCTGTTGACCTGTCAGCGGCTGCGGATTCGGGTTGAGAGGGCAAGCCTGCAAAAAAAAACAACACAACAATTAGTCAGTCATATTTGCAAAAGTACAAAAACATTCATAAAACGTCGGTATTATCTGCTAAAGTTATAAATAGAATGACCTCTGCGAGGCATTTGAGAAGGTTAAGTGTAATAACGATCGATACGAAGGTCTGTCACGTAGCAGCGTTTTTTTAATCGAATTTAAAAAGTCAGTAGTTCGACTGCGGTGATAAAATTTCCAGCGGAATCGTAACATTTCCACCGTAATTTAGATAAAACGTCTGAAAGTTTAAATTTAAAAAGTGTCGTCCTAACTTCTTCAAGTACGCGTTAACCTTGTCAAAGGCGATGCGAGAGAATGAGAGAGAGGGAGAGAGAGAAACGTATCACGGAACCTTGAATATTTCCGCTCGCCCCTCCGCGTGCAAGGTCGACAGGTCTGGTTGTTTGTGCTATTGTTTGGGGTATTTTCGTGCCCCCGTTTCCCCAAAACGATTAAATTTTCTAAATTCGAAAGAGAGGTAAAAAAAATAAGGAGTTCGGTACTCACCAAAGTGGGAGGGCAAGCTGTGTAGGATGGATGATCCCTGGCCCGTTGCAACATGGGCTCCACTTTCTCTCGAGTAAAATCGCAGGTGTCGATGTGCGCCCGGACGACGGTTTCCAAAAGTCGTTGGTCATCCTCCAATTCGGCTGCGATGGCCTTTTCCAACGAGCGCGAATTGGAGCTCTGCTGCATGGCAGCCAGAATTCTGGCTTTCTCCCGTTTGGGCACGCGGCCGAATCTGACAGCTGAAATTAAAAAAAAAACACACCATAAATACACGCTTGCTTCGAGCAAAAAACGGGAATAAATCATGTAACAGATCATCCAGCTGGTCTTATTTCAGCGCAGCGCCAGCTGCTCTACAACTGTCTCAAAAAAGGTTACGACCGAGACCAGGAGAAAGTATTCAGTTCGATAATATAAAAGTTCGATTATACCGAGTTGGAAAATGCGGGAGAGAAATTTCGCTTGCTTTCACGCAGATGAAAGTGTTCTAGGTCAACGAGAAAGTATTTAAATTCGAACGTCAAAAATACCAAAAAAAAAAAAAATAACAACGACCGAATGATGAGCTAACGAACGGCATTGTTAGCAATAACGATTGATGAATAAGGTACATACGTGCGTTGTGATAGTTAACGACGCCGTTCAGTATCCCTTTGAGGATGGGCAATTCCTCGCCCATCTTGCACTTCGGACCACTTTCACCCATAATCACATGTGCGCGACAACGTAGCTGTAGATTCGGGCTGCTATCGCGAAAGAGCGCGCGACCTGGCATTCCCGACTACGGCGAGATTGAGGTAGTAACGATCAGCGGCGAACGGATCGGAATGGCGCGAACAGCGCGGGCCAGCGACGACCGTAGGCGCCCACGGTCACCGTTTCGGTCGCCCCTCTAAACGGGGGCGCCCCGCCACTCGCGCAGCTCTCGCCTTCCCCTCCAACACCCTTGAACTTGAGAGCCGGCGCTGCGGCCGCGTCGCCTCGCGAAAACGGGGCCGGGGACGGCGGGGACGCGGCGACAAGGACGCCGTTTCGCGCCCGATATCGCCCGACGCCCACTCGCTCGCTCGCTCGCTCGCTCGCTCTCTATCTATCTATCTCGGCCGGCCGGGGCATCCCCGGGAACGATTGGCAACACCCCAGGAACGATAAAAATTGATACGTGTTGGGTTTGGGTATTTTTAGGCGATTCGTAAACAATACGTTTGCATAATTATTTGTACACAATAATTTCGGTGCGGGAAATATCGTTGTCATTGTTGACGGAGTCGAATTGCGATGCGACCTTGCCCCGCGTTTCTACGCGGGATATCTTGTTATATTTTTTTTTCTGCGAAACCCCCTGACGTTGTTTTATATTTAGAAGCTTTTTTTATAGAGGAAACATCGATTTTCTTTGCTATTGCTATTAAATGACACCAAAATTTTCCCATATAATTTTAATGTCAAAAATGATTTTTTTTATCAAATTAACGTCGACCTTCCATTTTTTATTGAGCGTGGTTTTTAATCTATTAATCAATAAAGAGGTTTTTTTTATAAACGTATCAATTTAGATGCTGAATTAATTGGATGTAATTCAACCTTCCTAATTACTTACTATTTTTTCCTTATACCTAATACGCTCTATGCAATTACTTTTTTGTCAATTCTTTAAAAATCGCTAATTTGTTACAATATCCAATTAAATTTATTGATTCACATTTATTGTCACTTTGGTTTCGACCCATCCTGCACTTAACTGACCCTAATAAAATTGAATCTTCAATAATATTTAATATCCAAAATTTATTGCAATGAAACCGAATTAATTAAATCGAAAAATATTTATTGCTTCAGAATTAACTACCCGCCAACTCATTTTTGGTTCGTTCTTCGACTTTCGAATGGGTTTCTGGTGGTTCGCGTGCGTCGGACTTTCGTCCGGCACATTTTGAATAACAGTATTAATAACTGAACGTCGAAAATGTAAACAAGTTCACGGTCGATTCCATCGCGTACGTATGAGGAAAATTCGATAAACATGGCGGCGGCGCGAGAGGCGACGACCCGCGGCCTCGCTCTACTGTTTTTAGTAGAGGTTTTCGCCGCCCGGTGGCGCCAGTTGTCGAGTAAAACCCGCGTTTTCTATTTTCCAATATTATACCTCTAGACTTATTCCTATTAAAAATAATGTTATGAACTAAACCAATATTTTTCTAACAAAACTTAGTAGAATGCACGATTAATAAATTATTATTATTGTGTGTGTAAAAAATGAATGCTAATTAAAATGCTATAGTGATCGTGAATTTCTTGTGATATCAATCAGTTGGCAGATATCCTCCTACTCAGCGCTCGTCGGTGGACGTACTATAAAGCACTTTTACTAGAATTTATTATAGTCGACTATTAGGTGAAAGTAATCCGTTTAAGTTCAATGAAAGCTGGCTTGCATGTCTTACGTTTCTAACTTCCTCGCGGAGAAAGTTTCTGATTTCGTAACGTAATTGAAATCATTCGGTTGTGTGTATGTGTGTGTGTCTGTTTTTTTATGTAGGAAAGAGCGTTGATGTTTTTTTTTCTTCGTCGACTAACCTGCATTAAATTCATTGTCATACTTTCCCTGTTAATAATAATCTAAATCTTCGTTTATTCGAGAGATTAGGTCTGTGTGAAAGTTCACCCGAGGATTTGACGGTTTAATTGTGTCGTTAAATTTTTTTTTGAAGATTCTTATCGTGTGTATAATTAATTGTTAAAGCGTGTACGCAGAAAGTTTTTTTTTGTATTGGTTTTAGGGGATTTTTATGATTTCTAATTATTTATTCATTACTTTATAAAGAATATTATAGTGTGTAATTTTTGATAAATTATTGATTATTTATTTGATTGAAAATCCTGTATAAATGACAACCCTTAAATTATATGGAATCACAGTAAGATCATTTTTTGAGATAAAATGAATAAAAGGTATTTTACATAACAAATCCTACAAGATTTTTCAAAAATTTAACACATTTTAATTTTTTACCAAAAAGATCTGTATTAAAATATTCCCACTGATTATTATTGATATTAAAACACCCTAATAATTACATAAGTGAATTATTTTTCCTTAAATCATTTCAACAATATTTATAAAAAATAATCGATTCAGCTAAACAAAAGCTTTTATCTAACATTTCAGTTACCTTTTCTAAATAAAGTAATTTATTCAAAACAATTCCAACTGACGAAGAAGTAAGATAACATCCCTTTGGAACAATTCGTGCGCATAAATTAGGTAGCCAAATCGGCCACGACCCTCCACCCTCGCGCCCTTTTTCCCTCTGTCCCACCGCCATATTCCGTTTTCCCCGAATCGCGAGCGTTAGAACGGACGAAAAAATTACATGACCCAGTATTTTCGTTGGGTTCATTCACCTCAATCACGATGAACTTTCTCGATTGGTGCGCGCCGAAGTAAAATCGCGCAGAGGTCGTTCAACCCGAGACCTGGATGACCTATATTCAACATGGTTTACAGGAATTTTCTGTGCTCCAATTTCCAATTGCACAAACGCATAATAGGTACATGCAAAAAAAATGGAGCCCAGAGCGTTCCTGCGCTAAGAAAATGTATGCAACTCACCGTCCCGGCTCATTCCGACTGCGATGCACTTCTTGAGCCTGCAGTATTGGCACCGGTTCCTGTTGATCCTGAGGATGGAGCACTGTTGGTTTTTGGTGCACGGTCTGTATTGGATCTTCTGCTGGATGCTCCGCCGGAAGAAACCCTGAGAAGGACACTCGTGTGGATTACAATCGTCACTATCGCAACCCGAACTACTACTAGTACTATCTTCAGGCGGGCCGACAACCCCCTGGGGCGCAACGGACTCGGTACAATTTAACACAGCCATCATAGTTACGTAACCACTATCTTAATTTTAATCGAATCGAATCTAATTGCACATAGTAAATAAGTGTGTGTGTGTGTAAAACGGCGAGTGGTCGTCGCCCGACCAAACTTGGTGGAATTCTAGAGAACACTGAGCTTAGCGCTCGAGTTCGTCAAGAGTTAACCAGCTGACCTAGTTCCCGGTTGTTCACCCGCCGAAGTGTAGCTAGCGAGGCCAGTTCAGCGCGTGAAAGTGAGAGTTTAGGTCTCGTTCCCACCCACGGCGATCGGGCCCGTTCGACGGAGACAAAGCGAGTTTCGCCATTCGAGTATCGCTCCAAAGTCGATTCCATTCGATAGTACCTATCAATTCGTAATATATGCCAATAACTTAATATATATAGGCGAAAATTTACCTACACCACTCAATCCTATCTGGCTATAGCGGATTAATTAATGGACCAATTCTTGAGGTACATAATAACACCAACACCTCCTTCGGTTTAGATTGGCTACGCTTGGTCGTTGACCCCGCGCCGGTATACAATTTATGTAATTGGAATAAAAACGTAAGTAGTACCATAAACTACAAAATATATAGATATACAATGCGCTTTGTGTTGTAGTATTAGTGGAAAGCAAAACAAGAATTGATAATGCGAGTCAACAAAAGGTGCCTGTAACTGGGTCAATATTTTGGTAGAAACAAAAACAGTTTATTTCGCTGGAATTCCGAGCTGAACAATAATGGAAGTAGAACAGTGACTGACACCGAATTGGGTTATCTGCTTTTCTCGATTTGTAGTAGTAATTTCGCGAATTCGTTATGTATGTAAGAACGAAACTATCGAGGAGTTCGACGACCTCCCGCCCGGAGTAGATGCAGATTAATAAAGAGAATGACGAGGTCAGTGACAGAATTGTGACAGTAACGACGAATGCGGTGTCGTTATTTGTTTAATATACACTTTTTCAAATACATTTACGGCCAATTAGTGCTCGTTTTTTTCGTCTAATAAATAGGTTAATCGTTTTACGCAGGGCTGTAGGGTATTGGGAAAATTGCTACATAACTCTTTATATTCGCATTAAATGGAATGTTGCTGGACACAGAGGAATAGAAATGTTTAAAAAATTAAATATTACCTAATGTTAAAAATTGGATATTACGTAACACCTAGATTAAACACTAATGAAGACAAATACTATAGCCCAAAGGAAGATAGAAACAAATGTGGGAAATTCAAATAGATAAACAAGTTTCTTCCAGTTTACGCAGGATTAAAAATTTCAGGAAGTTATAAGTAAAAGAGGTTTGTTTGCATCACCTGGTACATTATAGTTTATAAATAATTACGCAATTAAATATAACGTATTCATGAACCCATTCGGATTTGTACTCGGAATGGCAGGGAACATGCTATACATATTTATCATTTAGGAAGTGACGCCTAATCAGCGATTAAATTAATGATTCCTGTGATGTTTGTTCGTGTTCCGTTGAAATGCAACTAGATACTGTTAAATTTTCGATCGTTCGTTGACACATACGCGCATAGTATAGTAGTATAGGTTGAATAGTGTAGTAAATAAACGGAACGTCGAGTGACGTAGGAAGAAATTTTAAGCCGATCGGGGTCGGTGCCTTCGGTGACGTAAAGGAATTATTCGAGAAACCCATAAAATACGGTCAACGCTCAGTATATACGTGCAATTCGAACAATGCGTTGTTTGTTGCTTGCGCTAGCCGGAGAGCCTTTCTTCGGAGCGAGGGCCAGGTGGCGATTGAGCGATTGAACGGTCGGATTTGAGGTCAATGTTCGTTCGAAATTTTATTATTTGACTACTTATTCTTACAATTTACCTATCGAATTTTACAAATTTATTAAAATTGACAATAATATATTTCGCTAAATTCGAACACTTTCATGCTCTATCAAACAATACTCCTCTGTCAGCTAAGTTATAAACACCTACTTGTCAAATATGAATTTCGCCAGTTTGTTTGTCAATTACCTATGGCAATAATTATTAAAGACAGTAAAATAATTTGAATTTAAAATCACAATTAATTTTGAATTACAATTAGATTAAAGTGGAAAGTAATATTAAATTGTAAAATCGAATCTTAGAAGGTCAAAATTACAAAATTTCGTGCTACATTCGTATTACAACGCTTAATAAAGCGATTGCCCAATAGAAATAGGATACTTATTTGTTTAACGCGAAAATTACAGTTCCTTGCAGTCTACATAAAAGTGCCTAATTTTGATTTTTTTCGAAAATCGACTGCAACAGCTTTCTTGGGTATAATTACGCGGTATTTAAAAGTTGGTCGAGTAAATTATTGCGCTCATAAACATTGTCTGTTTACATTAATGGTCATTTTTTGTGCGGAAAGTAGGTTCGGTTTTTTTAACAATAAACATTAAAAATGAAAGAGGGCATGAATGAATTTTTGTCAATTCAACCAAACTTTAATGATATGCAAATTCGTAGAAATTCTAGAAGTTAAAAATTGTTGTTTGGGTTGAATTCTTGTCATTGCAAAGTTTATTAGTAGAGCATGTTGTTTTCAATTGTCGGACATTGGTTTATTAGAAAATTATAAATATTATAACACCATTTTATTATGTTTTGTTATTGTTAGGAAGGAACTAAAGGACATTTTTAAAAATTAGGCATATAACCATGACTTCTCAATAATGTCCAATTAGGAGAAAAAGGAGAGAAAATAAGAATATTCCAATAAAATAAATTGGAATACGTATACCCAATAGGTGACTAGATTCCCACCCTTCCCTCCAAAGCTCTGTCAGAAGTTTCCTCACCATCCCAGTGAAGGATATTCCCATGAAACAACATCATATTACATTTAGTAACTCGCTGATCAATCGAGGCCAAAAGTCAATAAACCAGATCAACCAAAATTCGACTCGACTATCGAAATCCGTTGGAGATTTGCGTAAGTCCTTGACTAAGAATTCCAAGAAACACAATGGCCGAGCGCCGCCAATCTTCCATCTATTACCAATATCTCCAACGGAGAGATAACGAAAGAAAAAAAAAATTAAATAAAAATCAAGAAGTAACCAGGTCGACTTGCCTCAACGAACTTTGTGCATTATATTATAATATGCGGGATCGCTCGCGCGCGGGACGATGAACTCCACGCCGACCTGTCGGCGCATGCGCACCCGACACGTCACCGTTATCGCAATGATGCAACGCAATGCGAATGGTCTCCGAGAGTACGTCAACCTACATCGCCGTGCATTGACCCTCTGGTTCGCTCTCTCTCTGTATACTACGAGCCGCTCGGGTTTTTTTCAGTTGGGCAAGACCTCTTCGAAGGACTTGCCATTCTTTCGCCCGCCGAAATTTTCCATTCACCAGCCGAATTTCGCGCAAATTTGGCCGCTTTGGAATGCAGCTATTAGCTGGTATGCAAGAGGCCATCGTACGACCTCATCCAGATGGCTGGTAAACAAAGGTTGCCAAGGAGATAACACACTTGTCACTGCGATAAATATCGAACAATGATCAATTATGTTAACAACAATTGAAGAAAAACAGATCTGTTCAGAAAACCTCTGTTCAATATTAGTAGAAAATTTGGCCCAGTTACTCCCAAAAAATAAAAACAAACCAATTATCCGCTAGTTTATTATACCAACGGCCGTTTCCTCGTTTCGAAGTTTCAAGATCAAAGATAGCACAACTATGCACTCATTCGACTCATTCTATAGTTAGCGAGTGCAACGATCCTAACCTAATACCGTTACGAAAAACGTGCCAAAGACCGAAAGACTCCGCACAGTTCGCGGCAGAGGGAGGAGAAAGGAAGAGAAGAGAACGTTCGAACGTCGTGGAAAAAATGGAGGTCGTTCACCTAGAAGGAAGCACGACAGGCAGGGCGCCTCCTGGCGAGCTGATCGGACCTCAGGCGTCTACCTGACATCTTACACAGAATGCATTATACTAATGACGTGGTCAACGATGCGATTTATTATTAATATTAATGGTTAAATAGGCGATTTGTAAAGGGATTTTTGATAGGAAAACATGCATTAAGAATCAAAATGGAGAATGTTAGTTAATACATCCTAAAAGTCGGTTAGGTCAATTACCTCGCAATTTAAAAATCAAATCTGCGGTATTCGATGAGTCGATTTAGCATCACTGATCCACTTTCCGCGCTGACGCGAGCAAACCAAAATAATAAACAACAAATAGACACAAAATCAGAGTCGATTCAACTTCGACTGAAAGGTCAGTGACATTAGCAACGTCCCAATAAGGTCTCGGAAACGTAAATCGACTGGAGAAAAGAGCCATCGGGTTATTGTGACTAATGCCCAATGAGCAATGACTAATGATCCATGATCTACAATCGCCCTAAATCTACTAGGCGTGTTATAAGAAAATTTTACACCGGAAATTACTAGTATCATCTCATACTATAAATTCTCAACAACCCTTTAAATATGATGAAGAAGTATGGTTGAATGAAAGAACAATGGTTATTGACCAATTCTTTTAACATCTGCAATATGTAGGTATATACAAGAAAAAACTTTAGCAATTCTTACCACACCAAAAGCACCTAAATGAATACTCATCAAACATACGCATATGTGAAAGTTTTTCACAAAGGCCACCTGAATCGAATTTAGGTTGAACCCGGGATTTCATACATTTTTTTTTATAATAAAGCGACCGATAATAAATGATAATAGCACACAATTTCTCGCAAACATCCACCCCTTTCATCATTAATAACAATCAACTGCGACCCTACGATCCCGCATTCTTGGAACTTCCTCACATGGTATGCCAAAAAAACAACCCTTTTCAATTTGGCCGATTTCACACAAAACGCAATTCCGCGCCGCCGAAAAGGGCCGGCGAACAGGTAAAAACCAGGTATAATTTCGCCAAAAATTGCATCCTCCTGCGCCTACCATCTGCCCCTATTAAACCCTTCTCGACGCTGACACAAAGGGGTGGATTTTTTACCTTTCGCTGTTTTTTTTTAGAAAGGATGGAGCAGAGAAGAAAGTACGAGCGCAGGTGTCAATGCGGGCGGGTAATGGGGTGGTGGATTTTTTATCTGGCCTTTTTTGCGCGTGTTCTTAAGCGACTGCGACCCGCAAGGGATGATTTAGGGGAGAAGCCGAGGCGCAGGTGCCCGACGGGGTAGGGCCCGATAGCGACTCAAACTCGCCTCAAAGAGCATTAAAAGTGAGACGGACCTTGAAATGCCGCGTCGGGTTCATCAAACCTCTGGCTGTTGATGAACTCGCGCGCGCTGGTGCTGTTGCCGTTGCCTCACATCGCCGTACGTGAAATTCTTCGCGCAGCGCCTTTTACTTTTTTCCAATCGTTAATTAGGCAATTATATAAGAAAAAGTAAAGGAGTTTCTTTCACCTTCTCAATATGCGGCTTTTGCTCGCGTTAGGATTGTTTGACACCGACATAGAAAGTTTCGTTTTGTGTGGAATTAATTCAACTCGCTCTTGCGATTTGTTGTCGAATAATTATGCAGATTATAATCTCGTTAGAAATTACTTATTAAATTAACTATCGTATTAAAAGAAAAAGTGCTATGAGTAAAAGATTTTAATCATTTTATAAATATTATTAACTATTTAATTTTCACAAGATACTATCAAAAAAGTATTTAAATTGTCGGATTTATTGTGGTGTATTGGCAACGCCGCAAATTCTGCAGGTAAACCGTTCGTATATTGGGGCAGAATGAGATTGAAGAATGAGAATCATCGAGCACGGTTTTTTTTGCTGGGCCCGATCGGATGGGATCACTTTTACTTTTATGGCTTTGGGGCCTGTCGAAAGATGATTTCGATTAATTGACAGCCGAAAAAAGGAAGATTTACGATTAACACATGGCCTACTGAAAAAAAAAGGAGGCACCGGCCGATTTTGTTTACTCTTCCTTTATTCGGCCGCTAAACGGGAAATTTTACTCCGGATTGTTAATTATTGAGTTATTAGCAATTTATCTTTGTAAGCGAATCGACCTTAAACGAAACGGCCTCGTCTTGCCAGCGACGCGTACATTTCGTTCTACGCAATGGATGTTTGTTCATTTAATTAGCAGAAAAACAAAATGGCCGAAACGTGTAATCCAGTTAAGCGAAGTCGCGATATGGGCTGGCGAATTTATTCATGAATGCGAATGACGGGTTCGTCTTCTCGATGCCCTCGTCCGATTCCGAGCTGCTAGTATAAGTACGCCGGCCATTGACATTACATTAACCGACCTTCAACCTTCCAACGTTTCGCACAACAGATACCATACCAGGTAAAAGACATGTCCGAACAAAGGATATCTCGGACGTTGCTTAAGGTCGATTCGTGTGCGTATGTGTACGTGTGTGTGTGGATCAAATATTCCTTCGTATATGCGATGAAAACTGAAGGTGTATAAAACGCCAATTCTGGAGGATATTCTATTTATCTATCTACAAATATTTTTTGCTGGTGTTTATTCAAACGCCCGAAATTTGATAGTTTTGATAATAAAGCGTTCACCCTTGGGTGTGTGGTTTCCGGATGGGCAGAAAACGAATTTAGTTTCCTAAAATGTCAAGGTAGAAACCTCTATTTAGTGTATAGATTTCCTCGTTCGGAATCTACCAAGGTTAGTGAACGCACCGAGTCCGTTTTTTTATTTAATTTGCGCTTCCGCATGTGCATACATGCATATTTATTAGACATATTATACATGTCATGACAATTTCTACTTACTTTGCATCCCTCGCAGGAATGTACTCCATAATGGAATCCGGACGCCTTGTCTCCGCATACTCTACATAATACGGTGGTTCCATCGAATTCTAAAACAAACAAAATAAATATTAGATAAGCGACATTTTATAAGCTCAAAGGGCTACATAAATTAGCTTCGAAAGGACGGTCTCGTTGGAAACGTTCGTTTTCTTCGAGATCGGTCATTAAAAATTTATTAAAATCGACAGTTTCATATGTATATTAAGCCGCTCCTTCGGCTTATGTAATAAATTCGTATTTTGTTATGGCGCTTTCACCTTTTGACGATACTGACGTAATGAAAACGCGAATTATTTGTTGCACGACAACTGCTCGATGGAAACAGAACTACTTTCTTTTTGTTTCACTGCCGCGCGTTCTTTTCTTTTCCACGCTTGATAAAGCCGATTTACGATAGGTAATTTAGCGAAATTAAGCCGATTATGAGTTGCCAGTGAAATTCAGTTTTCACGCTGGTATTTTTTGTTGTTTATCAGGCGAAAAAATTGTTACGAACCGAGATGTACGGGATAAAACCGATTTAGCTATCGTGCCAAATTAATTTGTACAAAGCCAGTCAATAATAAAATTAAAGTGTTTCCAAAGTCAATTGAATGTGACTTGATCGAAACTTTAATAAGTATACATATTTTTATTGTTTTTGAATATACCCACGTTTTTATGCTAGAAGAGTGTTATTAAAAATAATATTTGCACTCGAAAAAATTTTGAATAATTTATTTCCAGTTGCGAAGTAATTATTTTTGAAGGTGTATCTATGTGAAATTCGTTTCATATCATTACATTTTTTTACTAATAGCATATTTTATGCATTCACGTCGACTGGCAATTTCAAAATCTTCCAAAAATTTTATTCTATGTATGTAGGTGTATATTAGATTAGTTACCATGGCAACAGTAGGTAAATTGATGTTGAGAAGTGAATTATTTTTGGAAAATTTAATCGAGTAAAATCAAAACCGAATGTACGTTACCTAAATTGAGGGCAGGTTCCCTGTGGCCCATTCGAGAGTTAAAATCCGAAATATTAGTGGTAGATTCAGGTAATTGAGGGCTGTTATGCATACTGCTATCCGGTGTAACGATCATTTTGACAAACAAAATAAGTAGAAAAAAAAACGTGCGAAACAATTCACTGCAAAGTTAACAAACGACACGCACCGAAAAAAAGTCAAACACTGAAAGCCATTTCACTGAAACAAGAGTGTATTATCAGCATTCCGGTTGACACTAAACAACCAAGTCCAAGAGCAATCAAAGAACTGACGATAGTGAAAGTCCCAGTTGATACTGGTCCTTCTCGGGCCGGATCGTATAGTAAATATTACCTGAAGGGCAACAAACTATTCCTCGGCAGCGGAGCCGGGGCCGGGGGAGCGGGATTTTAGCAGCACATAACGCCAACATGAGTCGGGTTCATCGCATTTTCGACTTCGAGGTCACTGACAACATCGCTCGACGCGGCCAATCGCCGCTCGACGGCGATGCGCCCATTGGCCGGCGATCGGCGGAGCACCGCCTCGTGGAGGTAGGGGCCCCAGGAGTTCATCGACTCGAACCTTGACTGAATTACCCAGACAATGAGCGACGCAACTTCGGCCAAGGTCGCCTCAATTACGTTTCGTTTCTCGCGCTCACTCTCTCGCGCTGAACAGAAATCAAAAATGTGGGTTTGCGACCACCGAAACACTTTCCCGATGTCGCAAACGCGCGCTCTACACGCGTCCACCGGGTATATGCTATACGATAACATATACAGGGTGTGTTCATTAAAGTTATGTACTTATTTTAATGATTCTTGGGGGAATTTTGAGTCGAAAAGTTCATAATAAGGGTACTTCCTAAGAAACTTATGGATTTCGATATGCAGGGTTGAAATTTTTTTTTATTTTACAACAAATACGATATTAACTAAAAAAGTAGTACCTACCTACACCTACGCCACTGTTTTTTAGAGACTTATTAAAAATTATTGATAATATTTAATTACTTTTTGGTATTAATTAAATTTCTCATACCCATGTAGCATCTAGTTTTTAAATATTTTCTTAATGGTAAGTTCTTAAGACCCACTTAAGATATTTTTATAAAAAAATTCCAATAACCTCTCAAGTCAAATAAGCTTGAGAAATTAACCTATGCTGCCACATTGGCAAAAAATTGCCAATTGTCACCTTGACAATATTTTTATAGATGTTAAATGCATCCAATGACAAGCCAAAACGGTTATTTTTATCTAAGTAAAACAATTACTAGGAAACCTACACCATTTCTATTATCTCAAAATTTTTAATTTTCTTGAAATCTATTTAATTAATAATTTAATTTTAAATTCTTATCAGTGACGTCCACTACTCAGCGGGAGCTCTTATTCAGTGATAATATTATAATATTAACATATTATCACGCAACTACAAAAAATATATATGATAATAAAATTTATTATTATTTATTTAGATAATTAGTTTTTTTATGAATGTATAAAAAATTCTTTTTGTGTACACGAATTTTTAGCGATTAATTTGAAAAATGGCTCTGACAAATCGGTATTTTTAAACGTACCTACGTAAAAGACCCGAAGCAAATCGGAGATCTAAATTTAAAAAATAGAAAAACAACGATGTTTAGTTTTAGTTTCAAGGCCGGCAATTAATAGGCAATAACCTTTTTGAACGTTCGGACTGGCATTGATTTCACGGCGTTAACAATTCGAATTTACATAACCGAAAAGGAAACGAGCGGCAGCAACTTTATGAAGAAATATTACCAAACGCCTATAAAAATTACATAAAATTCGGATTATAAATTAGCGCCTTTTGCCTTCGAACTCACCTTTCCACTTATTTAAATTTAGAAATGGCCTTAGTCCAAAAAGATGCCATGACCGGGAATTGAACCCCATTGTACTAAATTCACGTCGATAGACACCCAAAGAAAAAAAACCAGCAGAACTTCGTCGAATTAATACAATGATACACATTATATAGCCCACTGATGACTGCGATACATACACCTTAATAAATATACCATTACGAAACATTGTACAAAATAAAAAACGGCAAGGAAATAACAGTTGTTGTTGTCGAAGATAGAATTGTTAACTCGAAAATTTAGCGGGCCTCGTATAATTTTATCGCCGGTATTATTACCAAAAACGCAACATATTGCATTTATACCTAACGAAACCTCCGATCCGGAAATCACATAATGCCATCTTCGAGATCTGCACTTAAATCTCCTTCTCGGGCTTCTTTTTTATCCACGTGCAGGTATTGAATAATTAAGGGTTAACAAACGGCCGTCTGCACACCCCTGATGGTACGGCGTTTTTTTTTCTCTTTCTGTTGCATAATACCAATTATAATCTGTCGGAGGTTTTTTTGTGCGTACGGTATGCAGCACATGTCAGGCGCAAGCCAAGGCTTTTACCGAGAATTAAATTACAATCGCGAAGAACGCACTGCACATGTCGAATAATCGAGACCGTTATTTAGGGAGTTTCCCTAAGGTTTTATGCTCGAATTATATAGGCGAAAAACTGCGGACAATTTGTATTGTTTGTGAATATTCTCGAATTTCACGTAAAACTTCCTTAAGAATTAATTTTGTAAAAAGTAGGAAGAAAAACGCAAAATTCATAATCTAAATTAGTGCTCGTGGTAATGATTTTTGGCCCTAAAGTGACCAGAAAAAATTTAGTACCTTTTTCAACAGTTGTAAATCTGTTTAGCTGAGCGTGGCAAATTTTATTGCCGCAAACTCGGAATTATCCAACGAGCAATTAGGGTGCAATAATCGTATTTTGACCTTAGCCTTCGCCTAATGCGCGTTAAATCGTTTTATTGCCCAAAATATAATCATCGCTCTAGAAATGTACTCATCTTTTTTGTGCCGAAGCAAAATAGGGCAATAAACTAGGCGGATTTATGGCCGTGAAGTTTCCGGAAAAAATCTACCCCAAATTCCTACGGGTGGTCGGCAAACTAACCACTTGCGGGAACCGGTGATGGTACTTTGTAATGCGATGTAAATACACCTTTTTGAAATTACAATTAACAGTTCATGCGAAATACCCTGGCAGTATATGTGTCAGATCGGGCAAAAATGATAATTTACGAACAAGGAAACATCCACCTACGCTCGGCAGGGATCCGTTAAATGCGCCTTTAGTGCCCGGTGTCCAATCAGTGAGTCAGAACGCAGCTTCATACATTGGCGAGACGAGCGTTAACTGTGCAATCGTCGAGGAAATGGAAAAATTAGGGTCAAATCGACTCTTTCGTGACGCAGGTGCAATTCTAATCGCTGCATAAGTATTCTCTAAGTAAACCGATATTATATAAAGCACTTCTAATTTCCGGCCGAAGGTTATTGACTGCTCAATTGTACGCATAAGTATACTAAAAGATGTAACGGGTAAAAAAAGTTATGACCAAAAAGTCGGACTGAACTGAACTATCGACGTGCTTCTAAGAAAATGACACGTTTACTTTTGTATTAGTCACAATTATGAGAGGCCGATGTGTTAAAGTGCTTTCGTAATAACTGAAACGAAATGCCATCGACCTTTTATCCTCCTTAGATAAAATGGCTCGTTATCTAGGAAACACCGGGGATTAGATTGACGAAAAAAATGGGTCAATGGTTTACGTTTACCTTATCAAAAAGTTTCCAACTAAAAATTACAGTTAAATTACAATTACAAATATCTTTAGGGAGTTCGTCCAAAACATAATGTATATTTTTGTACTTCGTACAGGTTTAGATATGTTAGCTCGCTCGAGTTATCTGAACTTTCTGGCATACGTAAAACGTACTTTTCCGTAGATTCTTCACCGAAATTAGCCGGAATAGGCATTGGCGAGCGCGAATCTTTAACAGTTTAAGTTCAATGTCAGTCGCTAGTCGGTTTTTTCCGGGGTCTTTGCCTGACCATGGCCTCGCGCTATCGAATCATCGCCTCAGTTCGCGAAGGTTTCTTCTACACAGGTAATTCTATAATTATAACATCGCCATTGTTCACAGAACTTAAAATTTACTCCCATAGATACGGCGTATTTTTCATAAATTATGTAAAGCACCTAGGAAATATATTTTGTTTACTTTTTAATAGATTTCAGTGATATGACGGTAATGGTATTATAAGTAGAATTTCTACGTGATCTGGTGAACGTATATTTCGGTTGTTTTCGAATAATAGAGTTTGTTATTTGACCCGAATTTTTGTTAAATTGTGAAGCAATCTATTATTAGCTGGCTCTGTAGTTATTTATAATATACAAGTGTTAAAATCGCTACTTATTAATTATCTATGCAACATGAATGACTGCAACTATGTATCATATTTTTGGCTGGTACAACAAACTACAAATTTACAAATTCCATTGATAATTATGTACATCTAAAGCGCACATTGGACTTATTCGAAGCCCAAAGGTGATGCGTTTTTTTTTCAGTAAGCGCGCTAAGGCTTCTTTGGGACACTGACCCAATGTGTATGTTGTATGCGGCGACCGTTTCGTCGATCGAGCGACTCCGATACGATATAGCGTTACGCAGCCGATTCGCATTCCCGCCGTTTCGACGAGGTCACGCTAAGTCACTTACCCCGTCCGGTGGAGCCGCTTCGAAACTCCGAATTTCCAATACCGATTTTAGAATCGCCCCGATTCGGGCTAATGGGACGGAATCGCGACAGCATCCGACAGATTATGCAGCATGACGTATTCCTACGGACCGCATTCTAGAAATTCTATCGGCGTAGAAAACGCGCGTCCCCGGAGGCGGCGATTAAAAATTTCCAGCGAAAGGTAAATAGTTTCGGGCGCTCGAGATCGAATTAATTCGACCAGCAAAACGCGTAAGTAATGTACTTAGTGAATGTTATTTAACAGCAGCGCGGCGGCTGCGACTGATAGGTGGAATGAACAGGTAATCGACCTGTAAAGAGGGCAGTAGCATTGTTTAACCGATTCGAGTCTTGTGCACGGGCGAAACGAGCGACGTTTCTTTTCTATTTCAATCTTTTTCTTCTTAATTTTAATTGGTTTAATATAAATTATTCAGTTATTATTGCTGTTGTAAATATTATGAAAAATTGTTACTACATACTTGTTTACTACATATTTGGGGATTCCCCTAGAAGAATTCTAGAATGGTAAAAACCTTCTAAAACACGGTTTATTATGTGGAGGAATCACTTGGAAGAGCTACGTTAGAAAAT